ACAAAAAAATCACATAGTACATTAAAAACAATGACTCTGATCTCCCATAAACCATTCAGCAAAATCTGGAAGTAGTATTGTGGCTCAAGTGTTAGAACGTTCATCTTCCACAAAATAAAGCTCAAGCAGAGTGCCCAGATCCTGAGTTCAAGTCCTAGGACTGGCAAAAATAAGATTAAAAAAAATTTAAATAAAACATTACAGTCTATGGCTTTGTCTCTTACTCAGATTATAAAATACATTTATATTTCTACATTTACCTAACAAAAGTGCCTTTGAGCTATGAGAATTTTGTATTTTATGATTAAACTTTCTAAAATGGGAATATTATACCTACAACAGTATGTCTAATTCTTGACTCTGGAGCTGCACCTCAAGGGTGGATTGCTTGCCTAGAAAACACAATCCCCCCGGCCCCCAATCTAGACACCTAGCACTGAGAAACAAACAGAAACTACATCTCTTCCCACTTCTACTGTGAGCCTACTTAAGATTAGCTATATGACAATATAAAGGAAGAATATGAAAAGTTAAGTGATATAATGCTTATACTTTCATGAAGGATGTAAATATTCATAGAGTAATAAAAAGGTATATTTTCAAGCCTGTTTTTAATCAAGAAGATTACACAAAGAAAGTAAATGGGTTGCTATAATAAACCCAAGCATAAATACAAAGAAAATTTTATGGGGAAAGCATCTCCAAAAGAGTAGTTCATATAGTCATAAGAATGTAATCCCTGAAGAGCCTGGGGTATTTTCCACAATTTCTATCACCTTTCTCCCTCCTAAAAACAGAGACTAAAAATCTTAGAAATGAATCTGGTTCTGAGTTTAGCTGATAAAATTAGAATATTATTTAAGGGAATATAGAACTGCTAACTAATTATATGGTACCTTCATAGACTCACTACTATATGGCTTACCTATATACCTTACCTGGCACTTTGCCTAGAGGATATTGTCTTATATAAAATAACTTGAAACTAATTACCTTTGCAGATAATATGAGCATAAAAACTGCTCCTTTATCTTAGAAGCATTCTAAAATAATGTTCACATAAAATTGTGCTGTTTCAAGTGCTTTTATAACAATCAACAAAGAAATTCAATAGTATAGTTCTGATTTTCTCCAAAATTATATATTTGGTTTTACTACATTTAGAAAAATATCAGGTCATTTATAAGTTTGTTAATTAATACCATGTGGACAATGTTAAAATTGGTGTGGCAAGATAGCTCATGCTTATAGTCATAGCCACTTGCAGGGCTGAAATTGGGAGGATTCAGTTTGAGACCAAGTGGACACAATATTTGTGAGACTACATCTTACCAGAAAAAATCTCGGTGCAGTGGTATGTATCTGTCACTTTAATAGGAGTATTATGTAAGTAAGGCCCTGTGTAAAATAATCAAAGCAAAAAGGGCTAATGAGAATGGCTCAAGAAATGAATTGTGAGTTCAAACCCCAGTAGCACAAAAAATAAAGATAATAAAGTTTTTTCCGTTTTCCATTTCAAGATTTTGTGCTAATTTGTTTTTAGAATGCTGATATTGATGCTACACCAGTGAAACAAAATATATTACCAATGAATTTCCTAACAAAGCCTTGCATTTATCAAAACCTTGTATCTAATAAATACAATGTCAAACACAAATCTCTTAATAATAAAGATAATAGTCTAGAGAAATGGTGAATGTCTATATTATGCTTACTTAGCTCTGACAGTGTAGATTGGGTACTCACTGTATTCTTACTAGAAGAAATGGCTTTTGTTATAAGAACCTAGGTGGCATATAATAGATATAGAAAACATAATAAAGAACCAGGGAATATATTTCCTTGGTTTAGATAATTTTATTGTCCTGCATATATTTTTTTATTTGTTTATAATCTTGCCATTAGTAATCTTTTTGCTTATAAATTTTCTTTAACTTTCATTCGGAGAAGAGAAGAAGGTACCGCCTAGGAGGGCAACTGAGTAGCTCTGCATAAACTACGCATGGTTCTCTTAAGAAACAAATGCATTATTACCATATGTTGAAACTTCAAAACCTCATCTACAGAGTGACTGAACAACTCTGTCCCTGTTGCACTGGTGGCTTTGGTTTTGTCATATTATTATCTCCATTCATGCTTCTCTTCTGAAGTATTTCTTGCTCACTCAAAGTTGTCTCTTTTCCTGTTAATAAGTTATTGCATTATTAATTAATTAATTCATCACCATTTTCCAGGTGCCATGCTGGACCCTGGGGATACAAAGATAATAAATTCATCCCTTGCCTTTAAATTGCTCAACCATAATCAAAGATTTTTTTTCTATTCTACACATGTGCAAAAGGAAAACAAACCTCTTCCTTTTTCTCTTGGTAGTTTATGACACCCTATATATTCATATTTACTTGCAAAACCAGGAAAATTTTGTTTTAAGAGTTCTGACACTTAAGCACTTTGTATTCCCCCTAGTTATTCAACATTCGTTTGGGGAATAGTTTCCTTAAGGAATAGGATCTTGAGATCAGTGTTCTGGTTTTTAGATTTCTTGCTCCTTTTCATTCTGTTTTCTAAGATGACATATTAACAAACAAATATTTAAACATCATAAAGGTTTACCTGACATTATGATTCTGGAGTACAATGGAGTTCCCTGGCTTAACACAACGTTTGGATGTAGGCTGCCTTAATTTCTTGAAATGTGTTCTTATCCAAGGTATTTTTTTCCCCTTCCAATATGGCTGTGGTTGATCTAGTTTTTGTTATCTCTTGGCATACTCAGGCCCAGTGGAATTTCTTGCTGACTAAGCCTCATCTTAGCCTTCATTGGCCTTAACAACTCTCTAAGGTCTGGCTTCAGAGGCCCATCTAGTTGTCCTTGGGTTGACTGCACCCTTGTTACCATGGCAATGCTCCTGTCAAGTTTACCAGTTCAGCTTTCAGGAACCTTGGAGTCTTTGTTGGATGGGAGGGATTAGAGAACAAAGTAGCCAAGGGAATCTTAAACAGATTGTTCTCTCTCTTCCTTACTATCTTGATGTCCCCTCTGTCTCTGTCTCTCTGTGTGTCTCTCTGTATTTCCCTCTCTGTCTCTCTCTGCCTCTGTGTCTCTGACTGTGCTGGGGAGATATCACATAAGGCAATGTCCTCTTAGAGTTCATAGTAGGAAATGGAATTGCCTATTTTTACTCTCAGCCTTCCTTTCTACCTCTCTCACCTGCATCCTTTCTAGATCTTAGAAGACCAAGAGAAAAGAGGATGCACTTGCCTGCTTCTCTGACCTGTATTTCCTTCTTGTTCTCCAAATAGATAGAAGAGGATTTTTTTTCCTGTAAGCCAGTGCTTATTAGTTATTCCCAGTAGGCACAAAATTAACAGAAAACCCCCAGGAGCTTATTTGTTCCTGTTATGCTGGATATATGTCTTTTTTTTTTTTGTCTTAGCACTTTGCAATTGAATACTAGTTCAGATTTCACATATATACTGAAAGTTCTTGTTTCTCCAAGCATGGTCTGTGGACTAAATCATGCTAACCTTGTTAGAAATGCAGAATTTTAATCTTCTCCCCCAACTACTGAATCATTTCAAGAAGTTATGCCAATATGCGCACTGAAGCCACCATCGAGCTACTGAAAGTTTTTACTACATCAACTATACTCATAATTGGCATTCACTAAATACTTATTAATCACTTCTACATGTTAGCCAGTGGTAGTCCTTGCCCTTGGGTACTTAGGTTCCTAATCAGGGATCTTTATAATTTTGGTAAAGTAATTAAAATAAAACAGACAGTTCTAGATCTAGTCTCCCTATCAACAGGTACACCTTAAATTTTTTGACAGGGCTATTAAGATTAAATTATGAGTTAATAAACGTAGAAAGCCATCTAATGTAGAAAGACAGGAGCAAGGTAGTAATAAAATTCTCAATTGATAAATCCATATTCACATCTGAGACCACTGCTTTGTAAGTACTGCCCAGTCACAGTTTGATAAGGCTAGTATTTCTTTTAGGGAGTCATTGGGGAGGGGTGTGGAGGAAGGAGGACAAAGTCATAGTTTTTCATCTTGCACTTTCATTTTCTGATCACAGTGTTTTAGAAGAATCTGGGCTTTACTTATTCACCAGGCTTTCAATAGAGAATCACATTAATCCTTTTAAGCTCCTTATTCTAATGATTTATTTTGTTGAAAACCATAGTGATCCTCCTTTGAATTTTAATGATTGCTGGCTATTCAAAGATTCATTGTTTTGACTTCCTGTCCTTACCTTTGTTTCCTACATGTCTGTGGGGAACACCTGTCTAATATTGGATCTGCCACTGGTTCTCACTGGCTTACCAGAGTCACTCAAGCCTATCTCTGAGTGTTAAGCTGAAATGCTGACTACCCATCCATGACAATAAATGTAGGATATATGTTTGCAGCAATAGGCAGATAGACAGCAGAGAGACAAGATAAATGATTGAGTCATTTTCTAATGAAAATAATATTTTGGATTTAGAAGTACATTCTTACCATCCTAGAAAAATTAGTTAAATTACTGATTTACTCATAAATCTATTGAGATATCAAATATATTGAAAGTCTTTTAGGCAAGAGAGCAGTACAAAATTTGAAAGTGCTATTCTTACCTCAAATCACAGACTGTAAAACCTCTAACAAATCACTGACCCTCCATTTTTCAGTCTGTTAAATGGCAAGGCTCTTTTTCAAGGACGTAGTCTGGTCATTTTGTTCATAAAGTACAACAAATGGAAATAGCTATGATATGTCTCAGGTAAGAGCTTTGGAATTACATGTTATGTTTTCAAAATCGAGGTGACAGTGTTACAGCCTTGAGTTCCTATTTTGCCCACTGTGTAACCACACAGAGATTTTTTTCCTTCTCTTTTTATAGGTATTCACCTAGGAACAGCATGAGTTTTCAAGAATATATTATTCTAATATGAGATTTTAACAACTACATTGTATTTATGCATAATACATTTTGTCCCTTATCTTCAGGCTTCTGGACTTTGATTCAGAATATCAGGAGCTCTGGGATTGGCTGATTGACATGGAGTCCCTTGTGATGGACAGCCATGACCTGATGATGTCAGAGGAGCAGCAGCAGCATCTTTACAAGGTTAGAGCTACTCTTCTTGCTTTTACCTTGCTGTGGAAGATCTGATTAGCCTGACAAGTCTCTCTCTCTCTCTCTCTCTCTCTCTCTCTCTCTCTCTCTCTCTCTCTCTCTCTCTCTCCCTCTCTCTCTCTGTCTCTCTCAGGATATCTTTGTGTTCATTGTATATATCATGATGTCTATTAGAATTCCCTTCCCTGTCCCCAAACTCATTTCCATCCCTTGTGTGCTGACAGGCTGTACCGACATCATAATTGCAAGAAAGTTCCCTTTATCACATTCTATTTGGTGTAATTCTATAGAAGGACAAAGATTTATCTTTCAGATGAATAGCACTAAATGAAACTGCATTAATAAATAGACTGAAACAAAATGAAGGATAAATGGACTGGTAACATTTAACAAAATGTGTTTTGATTGAAACACTCAGGTGGATTATATCCACCTCGCAGATCTTCCTAGAGGGAAAAATAAAGGAATTTGCCTTATTTTGGCTTGCTGCTAACCAGAGTACAGGGCTTGATCAAGTTAAAGTTTATTAATGATACATAAAGGAAACATTGTCACATTAAGTCATTACATTTTCATATGATTTAAGAACACTGGCTAAGAACATACATATTGATTACAGGCATTCTATCTGATAACTATCTATAGTGTTTCTCAGGTCTGGTAATTACCTTTAGCCGAGTATATTTTACCAGTAGTCTCAGAAGTTCTTACCAAACAACTATTTGATTTTGAAAAAAAAAATGGTTACAAATTCATAATGTCTGAAAAAGCTGCTGGGGAGGGAAGAGGGACTTTCTACTGAAATATCAGAGTGCAGTAAATCTTCCTCATTTAGGCAATTTTTATTGGAGTAATTCTGACAGTTGTCATCCTTGAATTGCTTTGAGCATATGGCATATTTCAAAGAGCAGATTGTGAATCATAAAAAATAAAATTAATAACTAACCACAGAATCAGCAACAGTATAATGACAAGAAACAACTACCCTCTAGCTTTTTAAAATTTCTTATGGAATTAAAAAGTACATTCAAGGTCAAATAAAAGTTACCTGATTTTCTTCTTTAATTTTACCATTCTAAGTTACCTTTCTTTAAAACTTATTTTACCTTTAACATCCTGTAAAGAGAGATGCTGATATATTTGGGGAATCTCGTAGACTTTAATTAGTGTCCCCCAGGAATCATCTTAGTTAAGAGAAGATATAAGCAAATGGGGACATTTTATTCTCTTAAGAATTCTTTCTAACATTGATTCCGTTTGTTAACTGTTAGCTGTTTCTTGTATGGATAGCTGTCCACATTAACAACAAGGCTATCCAATATATCTTGTAGAGTAACATATTGTTAGAGTAATAGTCTCAAACTAGTTAAAACTAGGTGATTTCACATTTCATGTGAGGACAAGAAATGTAAAAAATGCTTATAAATCTATATGAACTTAGTGATAGAAAAATATTTTCTTTCTAAGCCATTGTCTCAGAACTTATTGTACTCACAATGCCAAAGTAACACTTCTTTTCTTTTTGATGAATTTTTGTTTTGCACATAAGCTGCTATTTTTCAGAAACAGTGCTATTCTTTGTCAAAATCACATCCATGTAATTTACATCACAATTAATGGGAAATCACTGAACAAAACATGCAGTCTTCTTTTCCTTGTAAGTGCTTTGCCTGAGAATTCCATCCTGGCATATTGAAGGTCATTATTCCACCCACTCAGTACTTATGGATTATAGTATTAAAAAAACCCAACATTTTCCATACTGTGGTTTTTGAAATCATGACTCATGTTTTCATTTGGGTTAGAAGGAAAATGAAACATTGAGTTCGAAATGCTATAGGTCTGTAAAGCCTTTTACATGAGCTCCCACATTATTCTAGATGTTTTGAAACCTCCAAAACATTCTGAAGGTAGTTAATAAGAAGTCATTTAGAAATTAGAGTGGCTTCTGAATTAGGAAAACTGACATGGGTGAGTTAATCTCAAGTTTTCCCCATGAATCTCTTAGAGATTTCTTGGTAGGGCAAAGTTTCTAGTACTCCATTCTTTTGTTTTCTTCTGCTTTTCCAGGAATCAACTGATGGGTTGTGTAGTATTTGTAGCTTATTGATTAACATGATCCTTGAAGGAATAAAGCTTTCTCAAATGGACAATAGGCCTTTTGGGGTTTTATTTATTATTACTATTATTAATTTTTGTGTACCAGTCCTGGCCTTGAACTCAGTTGACTGAAAGCCATTTCTGAGCTTTTATCCTCTATCACTGAAGCCAAAGATTTACTTCCAGTTTTTTCAGTAGTTAATTGGAGATAAAAGTCTTACAGGCTTTCTTGCCCAATCTGGCTCCAAACTTCAATCCTCATAACTCAGTTTTCTGAGTAGCTAGGATTAAGGCATGAGCCTCAAATTAGGCTTTAACTACTATTTGAAGCTTCCTTAATCAGTTTTCATCTTTATATTTGTTGATCTTGTTACTGCTTATCTTCAATCCTTGTTTAGAGCACCATTGATATTTGGAGCAAGCAACCTTTTATTAGTTTGTGGGACCATCCTTTCCACTACAGAAAATTTACTAGTCATGTTCCTTAGTCATGTGACAATTCAACCCATTTTATAGTGATTTCAATCTGTACTAACCTATCTGTATCATCTTCATTTCTCAAAACACTTGGCAACACCAAGACAAATGCCTAACATTTGTATTCTCTTTATATATATAAATTTTATAATTGATTGCTGTGAAACTAACAATTGAATTTAAAATTTGGGAGCAGCTGGTCTACTCTGTGTGTTTGCTTGTTGGAATTTGGCTGATGGCAAGCTCTTCTGCAGAAGTAAACTTTCCCTTGCCAAGTTAAAAAAAATAAAAATAAAATTAAGTGGGTGAGGTATAGCTTAGTGTTAGAGCACTTGCCTAGTATGGTTGAGACCTGGGTTGAACGTCTAACAAAAAAAGAAAACCTTAAAAACTCAAGTATGGAAATAAAGCTAATAGGTCTTCATCTGAGTGATAGTACCACTACAGGAAACTATGGATTCTTCCTGAATCATATTTCTACCATCAATGCTTTTGAAAATTTGTTTTCATTTCTCTGTGTGGTTCTCAGTATTTTATAACCTAGTTCCTTTCCTGTCACTGATCTGAACACAGATTCCTATTCATGCATTCCTATACTCTTAAGTTGATCTCCATGGTATACATCTGGAAATGTCAGTTTAGAGAGAATATAGTAAGTTTTCTTAGTAGTAAGAGAGTAAAGCTGACTTAGCATTTTCAACAGTAGGCAATACTACTTTACTGACACTACCTATGGATTTTACTATTCTTATCTTTGCTAGAAAAATCACCACCCTTTAACTTATAGATATGCAAATACAGATAAATACCCTAGGCTTATCAATTCTTCAGATCTCCTGAGCGGGATAGTTATGATATTTTGTTTATCTAAAACAAAATACACAAGGAAAATCATTGGTATTAATAGGCAACACATTGATACAACCTTACACAATTTAGAAACCTTAATTCTGCTATGATTTTTTTATTTGGGGGGGGGGGTCAGTCGTGGGGCCTGAACTCTGAGCCTGGGCGCTGTCCCTCAGCTCCTCACCTGAAGGCTAGCACTCTACCACTTGAGTGTCAGCCCCACTTCCGGCTTTTTCTGCTTATGTGGTGCTGAGGAATCGAACCCAGGGCCTCATGCATGCAAGGCAAGCATTCTACCACCAAGCCACCTTCCCAGCCCCTCTGCTATGATTTTTGAAGTACATTTTCAGTTAAAATCATTTCTTGATATTTTTCAGATTGCTATAAATTTAAGACTCCTTTCTAATTAATATTAAGCTATGGAGTTTTTAGAGCAAGCCAATTCTTATTAAAATTTAATCATTCCCTTGAATATATTTTCTTCCTTGTTCAGAGACAATAAACCATACTCTCAATATTTTCCCTACTCTATCTTGTTTTACCTCTAAGCAGGAACTTTCCTTACCTATTTTCTAATAAACGCTGGCACCATGGACAACCTAGGAAATGCAAACATTGTCCTTGCTCCTTTTTACTAACTTGGTCTAAGAATTGCTTCCAAGAAGAATTTGCTTCCACCATCTCACTTTCTTTCTCTTCATTCTTTCTACCTTCCTAAGTAGAACAATTTAATTTGTCAAAAGTAACCACTGCAATTCTTAAAGTTCAGCTCCTATTTGGACTAGAGTTACGAAGCCAGAATTCATAATCACAAGGAGCTGTCACTCTGCTGGTCTGCATGTGCATTAACTATTAATGGAGAAATATTTAAAACCCACTAACAAAGGAAAAGCTCCATTCTTTTTCCTTTCTGCAGATCAAAGGTGGCATTATTCTTGGGTTGTGGAAGCTCAATCACCTCCTCCCCATCCTCTAAATTTTATAGACTGAAGTGACCTGGACATATTTCAGTGATCAGAGAGTTGCTTCTCCAGCTGCTGCTGCTGTCACTGCTGTACTGTCCTTCCCAGTAGTCAGTACAGGTCAGCTTCACAGCTGACTTGTAGTACTTCAAAAGTGTGTCCTGTCTGGGGCCACTGACCTCTGCACCAAGTACTGATGATTCAGTGCTACCTACATGCAGATCACAGAACTCGCAAGGATCCCTATTGATGTGCTGTTCCAGAGTCCAAGGGTTGATGCCAAGGGCCAAATGCAGAAGTTGCAGTATTTGTGATGATAGTTACAATTGCACTAGAGTTGTTTCAGATAGCAGGAAGCTCACTAAAATACTAAATTTGTAGATTCGTTCCTTGAGTGGATCCCTTGGTTGCTCCACATCAATAAATACTAACTTTAGGATTTCTAAGAGGTCAAAAATAACTCTTCCAGCTTAACAATATGAAATACATACCTGCCACACTGGGATCTTTTTAATTCTAGAGAACTCATTTTGAAATTTTATACTTAATTTTACATTAATTCTGCATTTTAAGGGAACAATTCAGGTTTACTTTACATTTCTC